CGCGTAGCTGACTGAGCAAGGCCTCTTAGGATGAAGCCTCCAGGGCCAAGACTCAAGACTCAAGGACTTGGAAGTCTGAGCGCCTCATCGCAGCAGCACTACCTTGCACTTCAGCTCTTCCTCCCTTACCTCTCATGCCAACCTTTTCTTTTTTGGGTCACCATTCATTGCTCACTTGTCCCTCCAGAAAGAGACAGTGTAGTGTGTGGTTTGAATATGGGGCTGAAACACTCATTAATGATATGAGCACCCTAAAGCTCAGTTTGATGTGAAAAATAAGATAATAGCAATTCTCCAGTGAATGTTTTTGTTTATTATTAGTTGAAACAACTGCCAATGGAGTCAAAGGAAACCCGTGAGAGAGTGTTACAATTGCCTGAAGTTAAGAGGGACAAGTGTGAGGCCAGAGAACAAAAGGTCAAAAGGTCCCTGGTCCCCTTAACAAGTGTGGGGTGGGGACAGAAGCTTGAAGGCAGCAGAGTGAGTGGGTTGGAAGCAAATGGAGAAAGTAGTTGAAGATGACTCTTTAAGACGTTTGTATGTGAACAGAAGGAAGTGAAATGGGCAAGACCTGAAGAATTAAAGCTCCACAGAGGTTGAACACAAGTAAATATCAGCAGAATGGAGTTAACAGGGAGGCCACCTGTCCTTCACATCTCACACTATTGGTGGGGTTCTTCTAGGCTATGACCCAGGTAGACCCTCTGTATAGCAACCATGAGCAATTCTACTTGATCCCATAGTTTCCGTCACCCAAACAGGCCAGACCACTCCCCTAAACTTAAGATATAATAGTGTGTATTGGGCATTGAAGTCCCTCAAGCACTTTAAACTCAATACTTAACTCATTATCTCTAAACTCATTCTCATTATCAACTAAGCTTATTATTTCTGATGCCCAGTGTGAAACCTGTTCTCTGTTTCCTGTCCCTGTCCTAAAAATGACTCTCTTGGTGCTATAACTTGGATCTGGAATGTCCCCCAAAAGCTCATGTGTTGAAGGCTTGGTCCCCAAGGCAACAATGTTTAGAGGTGGGACTTTGGGGAAGAGATTGGATCATGCAGGCTCTGATCTCATCCATGGGATAACCTCTGGGTGGGCTCATCATTGAATGAGCTACTGGGAAGTAGTGGAAACTTTGGAGGTACAGCCTGGTTGGAGGAAGTAGGTCACTGGGAGCATGACCTGAAAGGGTATATCTTATCCCTAACTCCCTTCCTCCCTCTTTCCCTTTTCCTTTCTTCTTTTCTTCCTTCCTTCCTTCTCCTTCCTTTTCCTCCTTCTCTTCTTCTCCTCTTTCCAGATGCCATGAGGTGAGCAATTGTGCTGTGCCAGGCCTTCCCCTCCCCTATAACGTTAGGCCTCACCCCAAGAACCAATGGAATTGAGTGACCATTTACATAAACTTATAAAACCATGAGCCAAAATAAATATTTCCTCCTGTAAGTTGATTTTTTTTTCAGGCATTTTGTTGCAGCAACACAAACTTGACTAACACAGTTGCCCAAACCAGAAATGTTCAAGTCATCATTCTGGCATGCTCTCTCTCTCTCACCTCCCTCTCCACCATATCCAATTAATCATTAAGTCCTCTTTTTTTATGTACTAGAAATATTGTGAATCAGATTATTTTTCTCTATCTCCTTCAACTTTTATTCAGTCCAAGCCAAGATAATTTGTTGCCTAAATTATCAGAATAGTTTATTCACTGGTCAGTCTCCCAGAAGAGCTTTCCTACCAATCCTTTGTCAATATTATGGCAGCAAAAGTTTCCAAACACAAATTCAGTTCATAGAAATTTCCCACTGCTTTAGGAATGGAAGCTGGAAGGTCATACTCCATAACCCAGCTCATTAGAACTCCATGAGCTATCTTAGTGCAAATTACTCATCCCCATCTCTAACCATTCTACCTTCTTTTTTGTATGCTAGGTCCAAGATGTTCCAAAAGAGTCCAACCACCTAAATATGGCATACTCTGTCATCCTCTGCCTTCATATACATTCTCCTCATGGTAAGAACACTCATTTCTTCCTTGTTCTGATTCATTCTTACTTTCATTTATCTGTTTAAATATCCTTCTTAGATTTAGGATGCCAATTCAGATACTAGGAATAGGAATATAAAGAAGAGATGCCACACTGAATCATTATGATGAAGAGGTCTGATAGCAAACATAGCAAAGGTAGAGATTCTAGAGTTAGCTTCTAGTTAGCTTCTAGTGGCAGGTTTGGGAGTAAGATCTGAAGATGGAGTGAAAACTCCACTGGAGTGGAACTCCAGGGTAGTTTGATGATATTGCTGGCTGCATCATCAATAAGTCACTGAATATTTTTTAATATGTCATTTTCATATTTAAAATAGGTTCCTGTCATATTTTATTGTTATTTTAGGTCAGCATTTTGGTTGGCCTCAGTCCCTTGCCTCCTGCCTAAATCTTCTGCTATTCACATCCATAGCAATGGGTCAATACAAACAAACACTATACTGGTATGAGGGCACTATATAGTCTTTAACACTATAGAGCCTATGTTTTTTGTCCACACCTCGTGAATAATTATATAACGCAATTACATTGTTGGTCACATAACATATTCTCACAGTAGAATTTATAATGACATTTTTAAAGTTGTTTTTTTAATTTTTTTGCATTGTGGTCATATAGCAAACCTAAAAAATTGTATATTTAAAAATTCAATTAAATGATATTTAGCCAGGCACAGTGGCACATGCCTGTAATCCCAGCAGATTGGGAGGCTGAGGCAGAAGGATCTCGAGTTCAAGGCCAGCCTCAGCAAAAGCAAAGCACTAAGCAACTGAGACCCTGTCTCTAAATAAAATACAAAATAGGGCTGGGGATGTGGCTCAGTGGTTGAGTGCCCCTGAGTTCAACCCCCAGTACCAAAAATAAATAAATAAATATACATATATTTTGTAAAAAAAACTAAATTCAAAACTGTTCTTACGGTTCTTTTAGTAACTATTGAAATAAAAGTACCAATGTGATTTATGGAAGGTAGCCTGACATATTTAGAGAAAATTTTATACTCCTCAGTAAAGGAATTTAAAAGTACTAAAAGAAGCCAGAAAAATAAGACAATGAACATAAGTAAAACAAATCAAACACAAGTAATAAAGTTAAAATTGGAATGAATAAGTTAAAATAATAAACAATTAACAAAGTTTTTAAATGGGACAATCAACTAAATTGATCTCTGGGAAAAAAAAGATAATTCTCTCAGAAAATATAATAAAATGTTGGCAGACACATAATATTAGGGACCAAAATCCAGAAAAAATAAAACTCAGAAATCAAGGGAAATGAAAAAAAAAAGGTACTACTTTGTGTAATTCAAATCATTATTGATGGAGACATTGGCACTTGAAGAAAAAACAGCTTATTGAAACAGATTTAAAGTTAAAATAAATATAACTAAACAATAATACAATAAATTGTGAAGCTATTTCTTCTTGTTTTAATCTGACATAACATTGACATCATGTACCAAGATTTTTCTGGCTTATTCTGAGCCAACTCTCCAAATATCTTGCTGTTAGTAATCTATAATTAGTAATAGTTGTTATTGTAATATTTGATTATGTTCTGATACATAGTTATAATTTATTTATTTTTACATCAAACACAACATACACATATGCTACTATATTCCCATCTGTGGCAACTCACACTGAAACGTGCCCAGCACATTCTTGTAAAGGTCCTCTCCGTTCTACTCTCCGACTGTTGGGACTCTTAAAGCCTAATACACACTCTTGGTGACCACCCCTCTAACCCAGAAGCACTTTTGGAAAGGTTCTCCACCTCCTTTAGACAGAATCCTAAGTCTCAGCTCTAAACTCACCTCCATCTTCAATCTCTTTCCTCTACCTAAGTGATGCTCAATAAATGTTTTAAATGACTGTTTTCAAAAAAAAATAAAAATAAATAAATGGTTGGTTTCAATTAATTCACTCACTATTCCATTAGGGTAGCCATTTATCCAGACCCAGGTGACAATCCATCTCAGATCTCAGTTATCTCTTTTCTTCTTTGTGTTTATAGTCCCATTTGTTTCAGGAATTTTCTGGGTCTCACCTTTCAGAATTTCAACCATGGCCTGAGCTCCAACAATGGCATGAGGATTCAAAGAGTGTCAGTCTTAGTGAGGAATCATTTGGGACTGGGCATCAATTAAAGGATTTCCTGGTTACATCCATATTGGATGTACCTTCACTAGTTTGTTTGGTATCGACCTAAGTAGTTTTAAAAAAGACAGAGCCCTAGAAATACAACATACAGGTCATTGTCTCAAGTAGCATGTTGTGTGTGTGTGTGTGTGTGTGTCTGTGTGTTTGGGTGAGGAAGTGGGTATCTGTTGTGTGGGGGCGGGGGAAGTTTTTAAAATGGAAGTTTGTAACCAAAGATTCCACTTCTCCTACTCCATTATATTGGGAAATATATTTTCCCAATATTTGCTCCTAATTCTTGAGTTGGATTATTGGAATTGTGATGAGAAACTTCTTTGTAAGCATTCAAGGATAAGAGTTTGCCAGGGAAAACAGGAGGGTTTTTAAATGAAGAACCCAGCATGTGACTCAGGAGCTATGAGAGGTTGCAGATCTTGCAGGGAACTAAATACGTGTACCCAGCCCTGTGCTAGATTGAATCACAAAACCAGATATGCCTGATCTCATAGGCTGCTCAGTTTAACATGAAAAACCAGCAAATGAACTGGGCGTCTCTTAATGCAGAACCTGGACCTTCGTTGGATGATCTCACTCCTATGATGACTCCTGGAAGATTTTTTTCTTTTCTTCTTTTTTTTTTTTTTTTTTAAGTAAACCTTTTAAGTGGCTCTGAGTGAGGAATGTGGCCGGGAAAACTGTGGAGATAGACACGCCTAGAGGCGGCCACAACTCCGGTTCCCAGCTCCGATAGGCTAGGATTCTCAGATTCCTGTCTGTGATTGGTTGCTCCTGAGGAAGCGTCACCAGCAGGGCGGAGCCGGCGCCTGGACCCTCCCTGATCTCTTTGGCGCTGGCATTCAGGGTCGGGCCCACTGCGCTGTGCTGTGCCAACCGGGAGCTGTGGATCGCCTGGGCTTGGTCGCGGGGTTCAAGTCCCTGAACCTAGGGCGCTGGACTGGCGGGTAAGTACTGAGTGTAAGTCCTGCGCTGGTGCGGGATGGGTCCCTTCTCACGCAACGGACACTGGGCCGCCGGACCTGGACATTTCCACTTTCGATTTATCCTGCGAAACACTAATCCAGATGGAGAAGGGAGGTGGTAGACAACCGTGCCCCTTTTGAAGTCAGGAATCCTGCAAGCTCACCTTAGTCGGCCCCCATCAGCCAGATGCCCTCGGGACCTGCCCAGCGCCCTAAAGCCAGAAGATTACTATACCCCACTGCTCCTCAACCCCGAGGTTCCCGCCTTCCCCTCTCCCTTCTCCCACTGGCCTTCTGCCTCCAAAGTCTTTTCCAGTCTCTGTCCCCTCCCCTCAAATGTCTTCTCAGACCTGTGTCCTACTCTGCCAGAGGCACAATTGAAACAACTAAACGTTTAATTATTTAATTTGTCGAAGTATTTTATGTATAATAAAAAAATAAAACATCTTCTACCGAAGAGCAATAATTATCCATCCCTAAATCTTTGCAGAGGTCACCACTATTAATGTTTCCACGTTATATCTTTTTATGACTTTAAGTCAAAATAATATGCTTTCACTCATCTCATTTCTTGATTTATTTTGATATTTATTTGCCTCAATTTCCTACTGTCACTGTCTTCTCAATTTTCAGTTGCTATTTTAGTTTTTTCTGTTAACCTTTCTAGCTGTAAATAATAGATGTCAACCTCTTTTTCATGTTCTGTCAGCTTCAGGCTGTGCCATTTAGTGCC